TATTACTACTACATAGGCAGCTTCATAACCTGATGCTTATCATATTTAATAAATGAACCAACTTGAAGATTTTACAGGTAACTTCATATTCTGATATCTCATACAGGTAAGTTAGTACCTGTAAGAATTAGGATGATTCATTATTGTATGTCACACCTGTTTATCCGTTTCTGTCTGTTTTCTTCATGCATAGGCGTCGGAACCAGGGGGTTGAGGGGAGGCTTAGCCCCCCTCCCCCACACTTTTTTGCAAATATATACTAAATATAGGCATGCATTGAAAATTGGAGTTTACCTTTTTTGTTGGTTCAGCCTACCCCCCCCCCCTTTCAATTAGCCCCCCTTTTCAATTTGCTTCCGAGGCCTATATCATGTTTAGGATCACATTCATACGTATGCTTTCTTTTTTTATTCTTGATGTCTTTTTCTTTTTATTTCAGTTGCATGCAAGAAAAGTTCATTGCCAAGCCATGCCTTAGAGAAATATTCTCATTTATTGACACATTTTCATGACGCCCTATATTTGATAATAGTCGGAAGAAACATTTCAATATACATGTACATCTATCATTCATCCAGCTACTTCGCGAAAAACTTTGATATGACACACGAATTAAATCAATATCTTTCGCTCTATGTTCCGTAATGTTTTCGCTGCATTTACACATAGCTTTAAATAAAACAATTTCAAACTGTTCTGGCTCATTGCATTGATCTCGAGACGTGGAATAAATTGACATTTTCCTCGAAAATATTTTGTGTGCGATAATGATACTTTTTAAAAATGCCAAATAGAAAATAAAATGATTTCAAGTGCTTATAGGAATTAAATACTGAAAATTGTTAAAACAGTTCGAATAAAAAGTTTATGTTTGAAAAAAAATCTAATTATAAATGATTAATTGAAATATATATCATATGCCGTTAAAGTATTGCTGTGAACGTTTTTGTTTAATTATGCCATTTATGCCTACTTCAAACCAATATATGCAAAAAATTTTAAATCGACATATAAAAGACGCATTCCGTTCATTAAATTCCTCGTCTTGCATTGACTGGGTTTATCTGTGTGTGTGAGTGGGGGGGGGGGGAGTTGAGGGGGGGGAGGGGGTATCTGTAAGTCTGGTAATCGCGCGCCTCTCCCAATTTATTCAGGATGTGATCTCTAAGCAGGGCAAATATGTACTTATAAATATAAATTATTTATAGTACTTAACGTCAATTTCTTTCTAATTTTTTTAATTAATTTTTTTGGAGGATGGTCTGTAAAAAACCTTTGTTTTCTATTGAATATAATTAAAATTGTTATGTCGACCCCCCCCCCCCCCCCAACACCCACACCCTCCCTCACACACACTGAGTTTCTTTCCGTTTTACATATTTACATAAGCATGAACCAAACGAAGAACGAATTAATATGGTTTCATTATACGTCACAGTAATGCGAGATAACTCGTGTACACTTATGGAAAGATAACTCCCGCCACCTTCCAGGCGGTACCAAATAGCCTCGACCCACTCCGTCTTACTATTTAACGATTTTCTCTTACTTTGGGATGTGGATGGCAAAGATCCTTCAGTTGGACTTGCATCAGATTGGGGGGTCATTTTACCTTTTGAGCTGTCAAAGGTAACTTCAGCTTTTGTGGAGGCCCTATTTCCATACAGAGAGTTAAAGTCCTCAAAATACTTCCAACTCGTCTTCTTGTTTCCAGTTTTTTGATTGTCATCTACAACTTTTTTGTAAGTTTTTTTTTTTCAAATTTTTCCATTTGTTTTTGACCTGATTTATTGATACGGGGACATTGTGAGAATTAAGTGTCTTTGTTAACTGCCCCAATAATACCTCATGATTTTTCACATCTTGGAATTTGTCTTCATTTTCTGATCTGATACTTATTAAATCCTTCTCCTCATTTTCTTTCCACATATGGATCTGCAAAAAATTTAAAGCCTAGCTTTTTAAAAGAGAGAGAATGAGAATTATCAATTGGAAAAATTAATGATGTGTGTTTTTAATTAATCAATTTTACTTTTACAATTGGCTGAGGAAAAAATATTTTTTTGAAAATTGACTTGCATTAACTTTATGTTTAATGTTGCTAGGAACCCCCCCCCCCAAAAAAAAGCTTTTAATGTTTTATAATCCTCTACATTGCTACAGCTAGACTTTGGTTGTTCTGCCTGATCAGAAATTGCTGCTTTGTAGACTTCATTCTTAATAGCTGGGTCTGAAATGTAAAGAAATAACAATGTTATAATAATTAAATGCAGGGCAAAATTCTTATTTTTTAATGGTGAACTAAATGAAATTTCTGCTTGAGACATTGGGAACCTTAAAAAAATTGTTTCCTCATCTTTTTTCACAAAATGACTTTTTATAAAATACTGAATACATTTAACGGGTATGAATTATGAAAAAACCTAGCTGCAGATCTGTAGCTCTCTGAAAAATATATATTGATAGACCGGAGAGCTACAGTGCCACCCATTGAAAAAACTGTATATTTCAGGGGCGGATACAGGATTTGTGGTTAGGGGGGGCGTGGATAACTTTGTTGAGGCAAGGGGTCTGGGGGCCGCCTTAAGGCCCCCAGTGGGTCCAGGGCGAAGCCCTGGTGGGGGCCCAGGGGGCGAAGCCCCCTGAAGCTCCTGGGTTTTCGTGTATTTTAGAGTAAAACCAGGCACTATAATAGTGCATATTTTTCATTTTTTTTTAAAGTGGCATATAGGTTCGGATGTTTGAATGATAATATTGTATTGAATGTTTCTCAGTTCTCATTGTATTGTAACACATGCCACCATAATAAATGATTTACCTACTTAGTACTTACTAATAATGGTATAGGTTTGTGATGTACCAAAGTACGCCGTGTTTAATACTATTTATATCATACTTTGAATGGGGGGACCAGGGGGCGCAGCCCCCGGCGGAAGCTCCTGGATTTTTGTGTATTTTAAGAGTAAAATCAGGCAGAATAACAGTGGTTTGGTTGGTTTTATACCAAAATGTGGCATTATAAATATTAGTCACATCATACTTTGAAAATTTTAGGGGGGGCGTGCGCCCCCCACGCCCCCCCTTAAATCCGCCAGTGTATTTATTGCGCACAAAAAAGTGCGCGCGATTCTTGATTAATTTTTTCCAAATTCTTACCTCAATTGCAAAATATGAAAGATTTCAAAAAATTACTCTCTCCTCTATCAAGTTCTCTCGTAGTTGACATCTGAACGAAGCATATTGGACCGAATTATATTTGAAACCGAAATGGCAGTATAAATAAGCGAAATGTGCGATGATTGCAATATCAGGACCAGGAGGACTATTTACAACAATTATGAAGAATGTTTTGTTGTGGAAAGAGTCAAAGAATATGTAAGGAACGCACAGTTAGTAATATTTTGAGATTACAGCTTTCAAAACATGGAGAAATAAATCGAGAACCGAGCTCATTTGTTGTGCCCAATAAATATACAGTTTCTTCAATGGGTGGCTCTGTAGCGCTCCGGTCTATCAATATTTTTTTTTAAGAGCTACAGATCTGCAGCTAGGAAAAACCATACTTACATTCAATTAAAGGACAAAAATGCCCATTTAATTTTGGTGTTAATATATATTTTATAATCTTACCACAATTTGGGTCATTAATCATGTCATACAAGTCTTGAGATATCATGGCTGTATACACTTTGCTTCCTTTTATTAATTATTAATTCCAGCAAATAACCAGATTCCACCAAACAATAAATTTATTTATGTTCTGTATACATATTAATCCCAGATACCTGTAAAAAAAAAAGAAAAAAAAAAGTATTCTCTTATATTTAGGTTTACAAACATCAGAATGAAAAAATCCAGTAAAAGGAAGAAATTAAAAAAGAAAAAAAAATATTTTTCCTGGATACATTATCGACTTTCCTACATACGGTTCACGTGCACAAGCGGACTTGCACGTTAATCATCATGTAAATTCTGAGAATTTACTGTTTTACAGTGGGCTTTTGATGTTTTCATAACTTGTCTTCTATCAACGAGTGGAAAAAAAATTAATCATTCTTTTTCTCACTATTTGGGACCTTTGTGGTAAGTGGATTGTTGTGTGAATGGTATTGGAGTCTTGCATCACGCATCCAGAGGAACACAATTTAAATCTCCGGCTTGCAATGGCGATTGAGGGAATAAATGTACTGATCTTCTATAGAAGCAAACCGTTCACGGTAGCGCTTGACTTCAACCATGAATTGAGGTTTTTGCATCCAATGAGATGAAACCAAACCATGATTCCAAACCACAATTTGACGAATCAGAGAAAACCAAACCAGAATTGCAAACCACAATTTATCCAATCAGAAGCATGCTATTTACCAGACTCCGATAGCATCCATTTTGTCAACAAAAATGTCCTAATTATTTGTTTTAGACTCAAATTGGTTTAATTACAAAGAAAATCAGAACTATGAAAGGCAAGTGTATTATTTATGCATATGTATTACATGTTATTGATAAAGATAAGTTGTAATTTGCATGAATTCTCTTAATAACTCAAGTGGGGAGGGGGGATGTCAAGAAAATGATATTTTTTTGTTTTGGTATAAAATATTTGGAAGTAATGTTGTAAAAGTAGGAATTTTATCTCTTAAAGACTTTCTCATAGTATGATATTAATCAACACTTGGTTGGGGGTCAGGATGTAGGGGATAAGTGTTAAACTTTGTCTATACATCATCTTCATTTTCCTGTCCACAATTTCAGATTTCACAGCATGATTCTAGCCATCTGTTTTAAGAACACAGGATTAAGAGTCATGATTATGATACTATACATGCATGATAAGAACCTGATCATCAAGAATCTTTTTAAAGTGCCATAGTGCAACACTATACACAGCATGAAGTAAGGCCATGTGTTTCAGGTGTATACACCTGTGCACTACCTGAAAGTTGTTTTAAATTTCAATTTCCTGAAGAAATTGATCAGTACCCCAAGAACATTGTACGAAGTAGCAACTTTATGCTGTAAAAGCTATTCTATTGCGGATATATTTTTCAGGATTTTAATTCCAAAGCCTTCAGATTAGTGAATTGCTAAATTGTCAATCTACTGGACTTTGTGAAGGTAAGTTTTTTTTATTATTTTCAGAAAATTGAATAAATGTTATGTTGATATTGGTACAATATTGGTCTGAAATCCCGGTAATACATTATTTTTACTTTTGAAAAAAAATATGAAATTTAAACTCTATAAAATAAGGAATATAATGGATTTTTTTCCCAACGAAAGGGATGCCCTGGATCGGCTGGATAAAATTAAGTCAAAATTCAAAAAATATATTGTAGATAACAAGATTTATTTAAACATTTCAAGGGAGTTTAATTGTTTATAAGCTTTAAAAATCTTACTTTTTATATTCCTAATCATATTTTACAATCTCATGACTTAATATCCATTTAAGTTGTCATAGAAGTAGAATTTTTTAAATATTGTTGGTTTATATGCTAATTATTTTTTTAATAAGGGCCTAAATTAATTTATTGATTGGTATCTTATATTATTTTTTGCTAAAGAAAAATGTTTCATGCAAGTTGAAAGTTATAAATATATTTACTTACATCATGAACATAAAGTATCAGTCTAAAAATGAAAAAAAAAATGGAAAATTACTTTCATTATTTACATTCCTACTAATCAGTGTCTAATTGATCTAAATGATTTCTAATATTATTTTCTTGCTTTTTAAATTAAATCGGGATCAAGATGACAAAAAATTATTTCAATTGGAAACATATTTTTATTTCAAAAATGCATCTAAAGGAAATCTCATTTCAGAATGGAACCCATTTTCCGAAAATTGCCGTCTGGCATTCCTACATTAAGTGACAGCAGTGCTGCTAGAGCTGTTAAAGAGGAAAGACGGGAAAAGAATCGGGCAAAGTGCAAGACTGTTGTCAAGGTCAAGGCGGAAGCACTGCAAGCCGTGCAGAGGAAGGGTGGGGATGTCACGAATGTCACGCATCTCCTTGGACAGTATACAATCCAGTTTGGACAGTTTAGGTAAAATCTTTTATAATTGGCACTTTATTGATTTTAAGCATATACTGTTTGTGGTCTGCAGCTCAATGATGATTTTATAATCCAAGTCTTTAATTCAAGAGGAACAGAAAAGTTATAATTTATTTTGCATATTTAACTTTTATCATTTAAAATGAATAAGTAAACAATGTCAAATTGGTTTCAGGGGAATGACGTTCAAATGGTTATTGGAGAATGCACCAGGATGGGTAGCTTTCATCGTTGCAGACCTTGAGACTTCTGGAGAATCCAAAAGTTCAGATGACAGATGGCTTAACAAGATGGCCCTCAAAAAATATGTAAATATATTTGATGAGGGAAAACATCTTGTGAAGAGGAAGAAAGAGGAAAAAGAACGAGCAAAGTCTAGTGAGTTTAATTTCTCTTTTTCCAGTTAAAGATATCTTTTAATAACATATTTTGCCCTTTATCCCATTGATATAGCTCAAGTTATATCGTTTTTGTATCAACACTATGTATGCCTATGCCGCGTGACATAATGTAAATAAACAAATACATGTGCATGACTTAATTTGTCAAATTTTACTTTATTTGATATATTTTAACTTTTCATTGAGGAATTAAAAAAAATAAGTGCAAAAATACTTTCTTTTATTTCTGTACGAACTATTTCATACAGTGTAAAATTATTTATTTCGTTATTTGGTCCGAGGTAACCCAAAGGGAACTTTGAATTAGAAATAAAGACAAAAATACACATTTATAGTGAATAAAAAGAATCTCCCATGGTTTGTGGTTTGATATGATTTTTATCCAACTCGTTGTGCACGTGTTTTCTATCCCCTCGCCAAGGCTCGGGGATAGAAAACACATAAGAATATGAAGAAATTTAACTAAACTACCTATGCAAACCATTTCTAAGCTGCCATTTTTATTTACAATAACAATGCTTGGATTTGAATCATGCGCCTAATTTTCATATTACTCCTTGACGGCTACATAACACGGAAAATTTCAGGGCTTTATCTGATTAGCTTTTATCCAGTTAGTTATCTACAAAGAACTTCATTCGGTAATAACCAATATTTGCCCCCAAAATCAAACTTCGATGAAAATATATTTAATTAAGTTTTTAAACAGGGGAGTATATGCTGACTTCAAAGCACTGAATATTTTAATAAGTAATGTATAAGTATGTAACGACATCACAAACATGACGTTAATTTCAGGTTTTTATGAATTTTACAGAAAAATGTACATATTTTGTCAATATTTTTATAGTAAAAGTCAACAAGCGCATGTGTGTTGAGGATCAATATTTTAATATAATGTGTAGAATGATAATATTGATGAAGTATGTCAATATTGTTCCTGAACAAACTTGGGCTCTATAAATTTTAAAGCTAAAATTGTTGAAATTTTGTCCATTTTGTCCTCTTTCTGAAAAAGGATATAAAATCGGACTAGTTTGTGACGTCGTAAAAACAAAAATTGTGAATACCCTGCTTTGACACTATAATATTTTCTGTTAATTTAACTAGACTCATGGATAGGTCTAACATCTCACTATGTGGTCAAACATCAATTTTTTTTCTTATAACTGCTCATTATAGCATCAGAAATGTTAGAATTTTTTAAAGTTATAACAAAATATATTATATAACTTGTATATACATTTGGTCATACTGTGAAATATTAAAGAATTAAGATATGACTGCCGTCACGAGAAAAGGGCCCTTAAGGTCAAATTTTCACAAATTGACTTTTTGGTAAATTTTGATAGCAGGACTCTTTCTGAATGCAAATATACATAAATTTTGAAAATATATCACTTTTTCGATATTTTATGAGCATTTTAGTGAGGCGCTTCAAAAATAACTTTGACGTTACTCACTGAAAACGTAATGACGTCGCCTGCGTCTTATTCAATTTTCTAAAAAATCTTAAAATCACGTGTTATTTAAATAACCTCAATCGTTTTGAGCATTTAAAATATGAGAAAGTATTTTTTTTCCTCCAAGCGACTAGTATTCAACTATTCCGGAGGGATTTCGTATGTTATTACTATTTCCATGCTAATTTTAGAGCAGATCTAGTAATTCGTAAAAGGGAGGGGGGGGGGTCTAGACAAAATGTAGGAACGGTTTATAACATAATCAGTAGGGAAATAATATTTGTTTAAATCCATAAAAATCATTCTTTTTATGTCAAATAATCTAATTCAATTTATAAAATATATAAAGAATTTGTAACACTTAAAGATTAAAAGAAATATATACATAGATATAGAATCCCATGCGGAAGGACACCACGAGCAAATAGTGGCACCCCTCGAAAAAAGAACATCAATCCCGATAATAAAAAAAAAATTGTGAGACAGCATTCACTCACAATCACACACGCAAGTAACTTTCTTCTGTTACTATAATAAAAAAAAACACCATGAATTTTCTGTATCAGTCACCAAAAATTCAATTGAGAAATAAATTCAGATACGCTAGGATATGTAAACTTGTTTTTAAAAACGTTTATTGCTTTATAAACATTCATTAAAAAAATATATGTTCCCTTCTTCCATGCAAGCGGATTTAAATTTTTTTTTTTTACGTTTTTAAACATTTTATTTAAAAATTAAAATGTGTAAAGCTCTAGGTTTCCACTGTGTATACAATTCATTTCGTCGCCTGTCTTAGTTATGGAGTAGAAACGTGGTAGTAAATTGGCAAATAAAGGACAAATGAATTAATTATATACCGTATACCTAAAATTGAAACTTTCTTTGACTTTATGCCTCAAATTTAACCCGTCTTTTAACTTCTTATTTTTTTTAAATTAAATCACAATAAAAATCGGTTACAAATATTTCTGCTCATTTACCTTTTCTTAAAATATATTTTGTGGCACCTGTACCCTGTTTCACATGAACACAACATTTGTATATTTCTAACAAGGGCCGCTTCTATGATCTCAAAAAAATATCTATGTTTAATATTGTATAATTTAATAATAAAAAAAAAAGATGGCAATTGTGCTGTTCTTATCTCTTTTTATTATATTTACACTAAACGGTCTTGACTTTTCTGTGCGAAATTACATTGCCATGTTAAAATTTCGACGAAATCTATTTCAAACTGAATGTATACTTAGTGGAGCCTCATAAATCCGTTTGCTTTGATTCCTAGTCAATTTGCCCGGATATGTGAAGCGTCCGGATACCGGAATTACCAGTTAATAAAACTTTCGTCCTGATGAAAAATCGTTCGGATACATCCGGATATCTGGCTTCCGGATATCTGAAGGTCCACTGTATTTTTACGCAAGAACGGCTGGCCCTTAGGAAGCCATTCAGTTGGGGGAGCTATATTTTTTTCAGTTGTATACCGGGTATGTAGGCACTTTCAATCACCAAATTTTCCTTGACAAGCGAAACAATTTTTCACGGCAACGAACAGTCATCTACTTAGTATTCATTTTCCTCCGTGAATGGCTAATTAATTTGATATAAGCTTTTCAAAATTTCGATGCGATTGTCTTATCCAATGATGAACTATTATGTACAACATACAGTGTACCTTAATGCTTTTGTCTGAGGCGATGCTGTTAATTAAGTAAATATTATACCGCTCTAATCTGACTCTCTTTCGCTGAAATATTATACTTACTAAAGGCAGACCATTTTTTCCTAGTTGTACCAAACATATCCCCAAATAAAAACATTTGACTCGTACCTTCGCCTGTCCCCACACTAACTCCTTTGAAAAATTTGGGGGATGGTTCAGGCAGAAAAAAATGAATAAATTTACCTTAAAAAAGGGGGGGGGTGTCGAAACTCGAATCCAATTTCGCCGTTGGGCAGAAAGGGGGTGGGTAGGTTCAAACTTCTTTTAGTATCAAATTTTCTTAAAGGTCAAGTACGGTAAAAATAGATCTTAAAAATAATGTTTATAATTCATTAAAAGCATTAAATGAAAGTTTATGATGTGTTTGTTTAAAAAAAAAATCCAGATGAAGACGCAAAATACCTGTTCAAATATCGTTATTTATAGACATGGGCGATAGAGTTATCGCTCTTTTTCATGACGTCATCAGAGACAATTGCTGTATAGGCGCTATTCTATAAACAGCAAATAACTGAATAAAATGAATAGTTTTAACGCTGAAACGTGTTATTGACGGTAAACTCGAAGACATACTTGAGTTTACAGATTCAACCAATTAAGTTTGAGCCCATTAGTGATTACGAAGCAATCAGAATATGTAAGGCCTGCCTACATGGAAATGTCATCGAAGTTAGAATCCGAGAATACTGAAAGTAAATCGGGAGAATCTCCAAGAAGCAATGATGTGTTGTTTTTTTTGTATTGAAAATAAATTAAAAACAGATATTCAGAAATGTTCAAAATGAAAATCGAAACTTTAGCGCATTATTTGCATCTATGTAGAATGCGTTGTTTTATTCATTGGATTACTTATTATAAAACTAGTAGACTGGATGAGTATTGATAGTCAGCTGTGAAACCATGTAAACAATAATTAGCAAAGTTAAAAGTGATCAGCAAATAACTCTGTGGCCGCTTGTGGTTGCTTCAAATTGTAACCCCCCCCATTTCAATCAAAATTATGAGAAAAAACCTATATATTCAGCATGCGAACATGTCTCATTTTTAAATAAAAATGAAAATTCGAAATTAATTTCCGAAATCTAAATAAAAGAACAAGAGAATCCTGCTATAGAAATTACGATGGCCGCTCAAAAAATACGTGGACTGGTTGCACAGAAAAAAATATTTGATGGCATAATCAGGCAAAATGTCACATTTAATACATGTACACTGTATAAACGATTCTTTACCTAAAAAGTCTTCAAAATTTCATATTAAAATGTTGTAAATTGGTATCAATGTTTGGTGATTTATCAAGACATATCATAAAGCCACGGAGCAGCAAAATCTTCGTCGTCAGGGCATTATAAAAAACAGCTTTAATTTCCTCAGCATTTTCCCAAGAGTTCCTGTTAAGCTTGACATAAAGCGTGACATTGTTCACTCTATTTTTACGGTCCGGATAAGGTTTTTGCAAATGCGCATGAAGTATGGATCGATACCCCCCCCCCCTCTTTTTTTAATAAAAAAATTTTCAAGAGTGTAAAATATCTCAAATTATAAAACATCCCTGTCAATCATATATATATGTCGTTCTATGCAAGCAGATTGTGCGTTTTTCAGTTTAGAGAATGACCATACTTCAGGTAATCCCCACCAGTACTAGTCCTTCTCCAGTCTCACCATAGAAACCTATAACTATGCACAATCCTGCAGAGGATAACTTTACACAGAGAACTATAAATAAACCTTTCTCGTGAGTTTATGTCCTTTATTTCAATATAGTTTCTCATGCCCCCCCCCCCCCCCCCGCCTCTCCAACTTTTTATAAAACAAACCAAAACAAACACACACACACACACACCCTCACACACACAAAATGTAATTTTACTTGTGCCTTCACAGGCGTCGGAACCGGGGCCGGGGGGCTTGGGGGGAGAGGGGGGGGGGCTTAGCTTCTTTTCCAAATATATATTTCGTATAGACATTGAACATATCTTCGTAGGTTTAGCCCCTCCCCCTTTTCACAGGTACGTCTTAGTACAGGTTAAAAATGGGGAAAGTATGTTTGGAAAAAAACTTTGGTACCGAAGTTCGACCCCCCCCCCTAACAAAACATAACCATACAAATAAAAATCCGTATAAAATTAATTGATCTGGTTTGAGAAAATAATGCTTATGGTCACTGTATTTTCCAGATACGTGTGTATTTTTTTCTCTGCTTGCTTACAGATAGTTTAACTAAATTATAAATTGGATTTATAATATTTAGTTAAACTATCTAAATTATTAAATTCATGTATTGAAATTTTGCGGATGCTTGTAAATGCGCTGTACACAAACGATGTGGTACAGTCCTATTAACAGTAACGACTCGGTTTCTTATTACGTCTTACTCACCACCCACATCTTTGAATTTTCAAATTTAATTTTCTTTGTTGTTGTTTAATTTGTATTTCTAAGCTTTTTAAATAGGTGGTACCAAAATTTCAAAAAATGAGTGGTACAGGTAAAGAGCTGTCAAAAACAAGACCCCCCCCCCCCTATTTTCATAGTTTCGAATCGACTTTTCAGTAACGAATCAGGTGCCTTCTATTGTTGCCGACTTAATAAATGAAACCAGTTGGTCAAAATTATTGTAGAAATATATACCTCAAAGAAGATTCTACACAAAGTATATAAGTATTACTTGTTGATTGAAATGATTATTTTTCTATAACTATACAATATGAAACATTTAGTATGTATTGAGAAACATTTCATGGGTTATTGAAATTAAATCGAAAATCTCTGAGACATAATTATCATGGGATATTTTTGTTTGTAAATTGTTTTGATAGTATTTACACTTCTGTCAGCTTTTCTTGTTTTGCATCCCGTAAAACGGCATTTTTCGTTCTTCAAAAAATCCGTGATTCGTAACTAAGAAAACAACACGTGGTGAGTTTGGATGTTAAAATTTCATTAAAAAGTCATTTATTGTTTCATATGATATTCTGTCATGTTATATTTATCTTAAAAATTGATAACAAGCTCAATCTGGATAGAAAATATTGGAAAAAATCATTTAGACGAATTTGTTTACACACTCGTTTTCTTTTACTTGCATTTCCGCGTGTTAAAATCTAGGTCATTGTTTCAAATTGTAAATACTGTGGGAAATAATCATGCAGATAATACAAAAACACAACACAGAGATTGAATAATCATCCTTTTATTGTACATGTATTTACCCTGTGATATTTCTTTTTAACCCGTCTGTATGTTTTTCTTGAAAATTTAAATACAAAATAATATTCGATACTGGCAAATATACGTTACCAGTCAAACGACTGTATACTGTGTTCTCTACCTCTTTTGGGTCGCTCGAGAAAAGAAATAAACTTGACACTCTGTATTAATTTTACATAACAATTCAAAACTAAGCACTGCACCATAACCCTAGAAAGATTTTTTAAAAAGCACTTGTAAACAACCAGTTAACAGCTAATCTCTCTTTCTCTCGCTCAGTCGCTGCAGTCAAAAGTTGTCTCTGATGACGTAATACGTTATGGGCGATAACTCGCGTCACTAAAAAAATATTTATAGCCCAGGTAAATTTAAATCGCGCAGCAGAAGTCTTAGCAGGCGGTTTATTACTAAACAGCTATGGGAATTGAAATCATATGAGACCGGCAGACAATTATGTGTATATTATTCCAATTTTACAAAAAATTCCGTACTTGACCTTTAATCAAACATAAAACACTGCCTTATTCTTTAGCCCTATAGTGCACGAATTTGACTATGCTACAACAAAGAGTGTGTACGTGTGTGTTTGTGTGTGGTGGTGATGGTGTGGGGGGGGGGGGGGGGCTTTAAATGTAAACTCCACCCCTACCCCTGTTGCTACTTGCTGCGATTGTAATGATCAATATTTTCTTTAAAGAAAGAAAAATTTGTGTTTCTTTATTAATTACTTTCCGTAGGGTCATGTAAGGATTACAAGATGAAGTCTTATCTCGATTTCAACGGAACTTTAAGAAATTAATGTCAAGATATGCGGAGTATTTTGATATATGTATCAGAGTTGAAGATTTCAACGCAAAATGTGGTTTATTTATTTCATATCAAGAATTCAACAGTCAGTTATATAATAATATTTCACGCTCATTAAAGTTTTTAAAAATTCTAAAAATGTTCATAACTTTTGGAAATTATAATTTGTTACATACTTTTTGCTCTTTCGGTGAATGTATTCTCAAGAGATGTAGCCATATATATGATATTCGGAAATTCGTACGTCTTTTTGCTTAATCTATAGTTTTATTTTTCCTTTTGGTTCCTCATTCATATTATCATTGTCGATGTAATATTGTTTATTTCTTCAACATTGGGTATAATGCTTTTGGGAAAAGTCTACAGTAGTTGTATTTAATTTCTTAACATATTGCAAAATTTGATTTTCATTCAACCATTTCATCGGAAAAATTTCAGAAATTTGAAACAAAAGTAATTTCTACCATACAATTCCTTTGAATGTATTTATTTGATCATTTTAGATTAGTATTTGAAACAAAATTTAATTTAACAAAATTGTGTCATCCCTATCATCCGTATTTTTTTCCCTTATCATTCTCTCTATTACTGTTAATTTAGTAAAAGGTAAGTTATTAAAACTAAAGTAAGTTATTTACTGTTGATGTAGGTTTGGATCTCCCATGTTACCAGTATCTTTATCTAATAAAAGAGGGATTATGTTTCTTAGCTAAACATTTACCGGTCTTTTTATCCGGAGATTTTTGTTTGGCTTGTCTTCTTACCCCCCCCCCCCCCACCCCTTTAAAAAAATTAAAATCGACAGTTCATCGAAGGCTGGCTATCGGGGTACATCAGTGTAATTAACTATGGATTAAAATTAAAATGACTAAATACATTCTGTATGTTTTACATTATTACATTATGGTAACACATATATTTTCAGGGAAAAAGTAGCTCTTATAAAAACGGTAATTACTATATGTGCATAGACCTCTCGCTCGCTCTTCTCTATCCTCTCTCTCTGACAAAAATATACTAGTCTAGTACATGGAAAATACTTTTGATATTGAGACTTCTTAACATGAATTCAAATTAAAGTATTTGTAAATTGCCCAGAAAACAAAAAACAGCATCTTCATATTTCGTCATGCATAGACATCGTTTTAATCGCTGTTCCAGAGCTAGCAATTTGTGCATGTCCAATGTCCCGTATATCAGCATCAATTAAATATTTAAACAAAATTATGAATAAATTTACGTACTAAATTGTAATCATATCATATGCCTATTAAAAAAATGTCCGCATCAAGCTTCAAATTTTTGTTACACTTTGAAATTCAATTTTATTTCTTGTTTACGAAATGCAGTCAACAAAAATTACTTCCGTGTTTACAATAGCGCGACTTTGACGTCGTTTTCTGAGCATTGTGACGTCAAAAGATAAGGGCCCTTTTCTCATGACGGCAGTCATATTATTTATGAATTTGTTTTCATCCAAGGGACATGTAGTTATATAAATATTTGTTGCAAGGTATTTCCAAACCAGTTTTGAAGATGCCAGAGACAGAGGAACAGATGAAAGATGATGACAGTGACTTGGTTGCATGCTTAGAAGATATGGAAGCTAAAAGTAGAGGTAGGGTGACATTGATACAAACCAAGTGGGCTTTTTAAAATTAAAAAACAAGTGTATTGCCAAATAATGATTTTACACTTGAGGTCTTTATGACGCAAAATCATATGACTCCCAGTACATTGTTTTAAGCATGTTTTACTGGATATATGTACGTTGAGATCATTTAAAGTCCAATATTTACATTTGAAAATGTTTTCCGTTATATAACACTTTTTGAACAAGGCGTTTTTACATATCCGTAAAACAAGTTGGTCATGTGACCATAAATTGATTGTTTAGTCATAATCGATCTACGTAGTTTGATAGTGACGGGTTGGCACATGATCAAATCTTCCATAAAGCCTTTCGGGCTTTATGAGATTTGATCACGTAACCAACCCGTTTTACATCCCAATAAAACTCAACAAATGATACCTTATTTCTTAAAAACACTTTAAGTAATTTTTCCTTTAGTTTGTCAAATCCTAAAATATCTCAATTTTTTCTCAATTCCAAATACCCAACAAGTTCTAGATAATGAGGTTTGACTGTATTTTTATTGTGGTATAGTGTATACATAAGGATATGGAAATAACGAACAGTATTCAATCTCAACGTCCATTAAACAAATATACAAAATAAGAGCAGAGCAAACACGGACCTCCGAAACATCAGAGGTGGGATCAGGTGCCATGGAGGAGTGAGCATCCCCTGCCGACCGGTCACACCCACCGTGTGCTCATTGTCATAATCAAGAAATAACGGGAAAAAACCCGTGGTCAATTCAGTGTGTACATGTATTATAGAAATGCTTTAATGCTGATAAAACTTTTAATGAAATATGTTTTATAGGTCTGCAGCAGTAAGTATGGATAATAATGAGTAAAAAGTACTTGTGTCTTATAAGTGGGCTTTATTTGTTCATGTGTCTGTCTGGCTTTGGTGTGTCCTAGCTATAAAGTCGGTATGGTGTGAATTCTAAACACTATTAAAAATGTTTCTACATTAGGCCTAAAATAAAATTTTGTTTGTTTGCAGTTGTCTACCGACCCACTGAAAATGCCTCCAACCCAAACTTTTTTTAACCATTTGGTAATTTGATTTTTAAAAAAAAAATCAGAATATTGAAACAGTTTCGTTTTCAAGTTTTGACACATTTTTTATCATTCATTAGTTTATAACAAGAGGTGAGCTTATTTATGTCTAGTAGGTGTATGAAAACCTCTTTTAATTGTTATCTAACAAAAATCTGATTTAAAAAAAAAAATGCCTACCTACTAACCCAGTCTAAAAATTATAGGTCAGCAACTGCAAACAAAGAATTTTTTAAGCTTGGCCTTATTGATTTTTTTGGTTAATACTCAAAGAATTCAGTGGCATAATTTCATTCTTATATGTTTCATTGATGAAATCACAGTTTGAAATAAGTATATGTAAATCAGCAAAAGTCCAAAATATCTCATTTTAATTACATGTACTAGTATATTATTAAATAACCACTCTTAAATATATGAGTTTGACTATAATATAGCTTTAAATGAGCTTTGATTGAATGTAAATCCATGCTTTTTATAATATGTAACTTCATGTTTATATAATGTGGTCCCTGCTTTCTTTCAATTTTTAAACAAAAAGTATGTTATTCTTTTCCCATTGTTTTAATTCACAATATCTTATTATATCTTTCTTAAATCCTTAATTGCCTCTGTACTCATCTCTCCTTGGAATACATTAAGAATATAATCCTCCCCAAAAAGAAAGGAGTTTATTATCTTCTATTTAACTTTTTTAAATATCATTAACTTACATGCTTCCTTTATCTTTTTATTTCTTCAAATAGGCCAGTTTTAAAATTATCCTGATTTAGCCAAAGTCTTCACCATTAGACACATGTTTTTAATTATGGTCATGTATTGTAACAAAATCTTAAATTTCTAAATTTTCATTTCATAGAAGCACAACGTCTCAAGCCAACACCAAATCTTTCTTCTGCTTCAAGGAAAGAAGTTTCTGTACCTGGTAAGTTTTAAAGGATAATATTTGTGTTTTAGCATAACTCATTTCAAGAACACATACAGGAAAACTTGTTTACTGCAAACACGGATATTGCAAATTCATGATATGGCAAAGTTATTTTGGATCCCCACCTATGTAAATTTAATGAATTCCTTATATGGACATAACAGATGTTATAGCTTAGTAATTTCAAATGTCCCATTGACTTCCTAAATCTGAGTTTTACTGTTTAGTTTTTGTAACCATATTTTTCTAGTCCTACATGTTCATTATTTTTGTTTTTTACAGTAGTGAGCAGTAAGTCTACATGCTCTGGAACCAGCTTGAATGTAGCTGTCACAAGCTCCTTGAGTCGAGTTGTCAGTTCCTCAAGTGGAGCTACCAGCTCCTTGAGTCGAGTTGTCAGCTCCTCAAGTGGAGCTACCAGCTCCTTGAGTCGAGTTGTCAGCTCCTCAAGTGGATCTTCTAGTTCCATGAGTATGGTTTCCAGCTCCTCTTCTACAGTTCCTAACTCTTCAAGTTTGTCTGCTGCCAAAGAGAGGAATCTACTGACAACACCCTCCCATCAACAACAGCCTAGTACATCAGCAGGTAAAATGCTGTTTCCAATTACTTTTGAAGGTTTGCAAAACTTTTTTTAAAGGGCCAGAGTTAATCTATTCTAAGTATCAAAGTCCTGATACATTCAAATTAAAAGTGTTTCTGATAAATTTTGCCAGTACTTATAAAACATATTTATAGGAACAGAATTAGACCATGTCGACCTTCTTGTGGGTTGGAAGAAGACACTTCCTGAGATAGATCACCATTGGATATCGGAAACCTTCTTCCATGCTGGGAAACGAGGTGCTGAATTTGATTTCAGCAGGGTAACCAAGTTGTGGTATGATCCTCCCCAACCCAGCCTATCCCGTGGTGTGTTGAACAAACCAGATCGATACTTTGGTCATCGGCTGTTTTTGTGGATGCCTCGCCACTTGTTTCATGTGCAGTTTCACTGCCCTCACAGTGACTGTAGTGGTATATTGACCAATTCTGGTGTACATCAGAAAACCAGGAGGGTTTTAGATGTGGATTCCTACTACAATATGGCAGCAGAGAATTTGGTTTGTTCGAAGTGTGGGAAGAAAGGTAAATACATAAAATTATGGTACCTTAACCTCTAATAGACTTAAGATTATTTTATTACCATGATTGATTTTATTGATATGATTAAGTTAACAATATTTGAACAATATATTTTGTATCCATATGTGTAGGGAAATAATTTGTAATTATCTGTTACATGAGACAAAACTTAATTTAGTATGTATTTACTTATCATTGAAACTCCTTCCTGTAACTTTTCTTTTAGAATCAAGATAGCCAAATATTTAATTTTTTTTCTAATTTATGATTATAATCCTAAAAAAAGTTTATACAATTGATTTTTTTAAATGCCAACAGTCATCAGCTGGAGTGAAGGTGTACTTGACCAACTGGACAACGCCACAAGATCCACCTTTCCCTGCATCCTTACCCTTAAGAATACCTGTGACCTGAAAGTTGTTCGCCTAATGCGACAGAGGGGACTTGGTAACAGCAGCAGTGCAGTCAGGAAACAGGTAAGAGAACAACATGGTGAGTCATATCTTATCAAATTACAAATGTATCTTTCTAATTGCAGGGAATTCAAAGCTTCAGTAGACAGGGGTTTCTTTGTGCCGACACAGTTTAGCGAGCCTCCGATTCCTGCAGAAATTCCAGGATACAGTTGGTTCATGAAGGTATATCAGCTGGATGTTCTTCAACGAGTAGATTACATCAAAGCTCACCTGACATCCCAGTTTGGTAATATACTGAAGATGGATTCAACGAAGAAGATCACGAATAAACTTGCAGGTAAAATATTGTTTGCTTGCCCTCTCCTGACTCAGGATGATAAAATTAGTAGTGGGTAGGTAGGCGAAAAAGTTGTTTTGAATAAATTTCAAAATGCTAAATTCAAAATCTATTTTCTAGAATGCCTTCTAAAATTTACTTCTTGGAGGTGATGTTAAGTTTTGAGTCAATCCATATTTACCTATTCGGTCGGAAGAGGGCAACCAAACATTTTTTTAAAGATAACCTAATAAAATAAATGCCATTTTCTTATTTTTTTTTTATTTTATTCCTTTACATGTAATTTCAAACTCTTTTATTATCTATGATTTTAGATCATCTTCTGATATCTCAAAACTTTTTCTTGGTCACAAGAGTTTGAAATAACAAGGTTTGACTGTGCTTAAATTAGTTTTTCTGGAAGAGTGTCAGAGAATTTCTTAATGTATCCTTTCATATTAAACTAATGATCTTAATTACATTAAAGGAAAAGGGAGGAAGACCGCCATGTGGGCCACAAACATTGGCAATGAACACGGACAGGTGTTGATGTCGGTCTTAACTGTTGGTGAAGGGTTAAGCTTGAAGCCAATGATTGATGGCCTTGTTGCACGGTACCGGAATGGTGAAGTTTCTCCTCCGAAGGCCCTCTATGTTGATAGGGACTGCTGTGGAACCTCCTCTGTACGGAAGTACTTTGGTGCATGGCCTTTCCTTCATATAAGGTATCAATATTATACTTTAAAGAATTAACTAACATTATCATGTTCTCTTTTTCCTGCTTTGATCAATTGTCTTTAAAAAATACATTACATATCAATTATATGAATGTAATATTTTAATAGTGCAATTACTTTAAGGTTTTCTTAGTAAAAATAAAAAAGAATAGTTGAATAAAAACACATAAGCATTAAATCCCTAAGTTATGTATGAATTAAAATGTCAAATAGATATACATATTATCATGTAATATTCTAGGACATTTGGCACTTCATGCGTCGCTTTCCCTCTGGTTGTACAACTGATAAACATCAGCTGTACAGTGTATTCATGGGGAAACTGAAGCAGTGCATTTTCAAGTATGACGAGGGTGTCCTTAATCTACTGAAGACTGCAAAGCGGGATGAGATGGTCCAGAAGGTATTCCCAACCCCACACATGATGACGTCTTTCGAAAGTTGTCTTCCAGCGAGCTCCAACAACACTGTCGAAGGGTGACCCGAGGGACAGCAGAAACATCAAGACTGATATCTAGTCTGCTGGAATCTTTGGATGGTTCTAATGGCTGCGATACCCAAGGAGCACCCCTTATTGACAGTAGGAGAATGAAGCAGCTTTGGGATGTCCAGAGTCGTCATGTAGACTGTATCCAGGATCCCCCTGATCTGCAGCTTTACACCCAGGTGAATACGTTGAAGAAAGGCAACCTCATGCTACCTGTTTACAGGTGTGCAAGAGGCTCAACTTCTCTGGAAAGTTTCCACCTCCATATGAACAGGTTTATTCCAGTTAAGTATAAAATTTCAAACAAGAATTTGACTTTTTAATTTCAGAATGATATGCTTTTATTTTATATTAAAAAGTCAGCTTTGAATTTCCATAGGAACCCTTGCGAAGGACATCAATTTCCAGGTGTGTGTGTTGGATGGCCTTTTCAGGTGGAATACTGACCGGCAGAGTTCTGCAGTGCTTGATAGTCAGCAACAGAATCCAATGACGTACAGTGGACCTCTGAAGAATGCAGTAAATAGGCTGTCGCAGGAGGTTTTGGGAAAAGATATGTTCCAAGACTACAAACCACCCGGAAAATATACTGGTAATCATTATATGATGATAAATGCTTTACTTTACTGGAAGAAAATTATATTTAAAATATCATGAAAATTGAATTTAAAAAAATATATGTTAACTTCAGATTTTGATTCAGGATTTGAAAATATGCTTTCAGCCTATACAACCTTTCAAATTAATTACATAACAGTGGTTCTTCATAATATTTTAGTGATATTCTTTATAAATTGTTTTTCCCAAAAGGGGAGCTAATTGGAATTGAGTATCTTTACTCCCAAACTGGAGAAGGTGTAGCAGATTACACCAGCACAGCCAGACAGCTGTTAGAGGGCCCTGATACCGAGGACATGGAGATGTACCGTGATCCTGAGGCAGATGAAGGATTTGAAGAGCTGGATGATGTGACGGATCCCACTACAGATATTTTGGACTTGGGTCCTGATTTTACAAGGGTAGAACATGAGACCCAGGATTCCACACACTCACCAACTCCCCAAACAATCCTTCATATTCCCTCAGACACGGAGTACAGACAGCTGATGGTGCAGAAAGATGAAGGCACGTGTATGTCTAAATTGCTCTGATATCTTTAAATTTAAAATTTATTGAAATAAGCAGATTTATCTTCTTTCAATAACTGTTTAGTATCTTATTTTTAAAACATTAAATTCATGGTATAATAAGTGTATTTGAATATTAAAACTATTTGTTTTAAGTGAAACCTACTTGTATTTATGTTCCCCTCATTTTAGTTTAGGTCCCTACCATCCCCCTGCTTGAGAGAGACTCACCTGAAGGACATGGATCTGATGAGGTAAATGTTTTCAAAGATATGTTCATTTATTGTCTGTGTTCTTTATATTAAATGTTGTTTAGATCAACATTTCAGTTGTATAATGTTTCCTTCATTACATATGTATTATGTGATTAGCATTTGTATAATTCTATTTTCAGGACACAGTGGGGCCAGACAACATTCCTGGATACACAAAAGTGCTTACCTTGGCCGACTTCTTGGTAACACTTAAAGACAAGGCCACAATGACCACAGCACAAGTTCAGCATTTGAAAGACCTGTGGTCGGCACTTTCGGAGTATGACAGGAAGAGGACAGTTTTTCTAACTCGGTTCTCTAAACATCCAGTAGAGGGAAGATTCAGACACAAACAGAAAAAAAGTTGCTCCAGGAGTAAAAAGTATTCAGAGGTAAAAATCACACATTTATTAAAATATCTGTACAGAAATGGTGCACCAAATGCAGGGTTTGAAAAACTTACTCACCCAAAGGAATTACCAGCTAGGTCAGAAACAATATCAACAGTCTCGTTTAAAGTCATCATTTCGTGAATTCTATGGTCGATGCAGTGACCTTGTCGGCAGATACAGTTTGTCATTGAGTGGGGTGCTGACTGGCGTTTTTCATACCAATTGTTGGTCCATTGTTTGTACACTGAGTTGACCACGGGTTTTTTCCGTTGTTTCCTGGTTGTGACAACGAGCACACGGCGGGTGTGACCGGTCGGCGGGGGATGCTCGCTCCTCCATGGCACCTGATCCCACCTCTGATGTTTCGGAGGTCCGTGTTTGCTCTGCTCTTATTTTGTGTGTTTGTTTGATGGACGTTGAGATTGAGTGCTGTTCGTTATTTCCATATCCTTCTTTAGGTCATGATTCCACGCCAACAACAAGATAGAGAAGTGTTAACCGAGATACATGATAGACTTTAAGCTAAAAAAGCGCAGGCCCAGTAACTATCCGTTTGGGAAAAGGCAGCTTTCTTTTTCATAAATATGTACTTAGATCATTGGCCTAATATCCTTGCTTACGCAAAGCCCTATCCGGACACCATAGCAAACCATCCACAATGCCATCATACATATCTGATGTAGGGTACCCTTATCAATATTTGAGTTATCACGAAAGAACATGGACAGCAAAAATTCTGTGAACGTATGTAATTATGCCTTCATTTGATACAGTAAAATGGTTTTCTTCTTTTTTACATTTTTATAATTTAAATAAAAATATTTTAATAAACAATTTCTTACATTCTAACATCGAACTTTGTAACATCAGTATATAGCTTCAAGCATATTTATCCTTTCACTGGATGACAGCTCCACTTTTTGCTCCAATCACCCCTCTGGCAAAGTTTCTCCAAGGAAGTCTTGCTACAAAAGGAGATTTGTTGCATTTATATAAATCTCCAATGTCAGAGAAATTAACTGCATAAAGATGAAAATGAAAACTGCTTTTTCTTAAAATTGTGTAAAAATGCCTAACTTCAAATAAATTTCAATTTCTTGTTATAACCTTAAATTTATGATTAAAACAAACCATGTTTAACTTCTTTTGGATTTTCTTAGGCATGCAAGGAGTAGGTGTTTTTTTTGTATCATATTCTGTTCCTGTTGTTGACTTGTACTTGGCAAGGAAGGAAGGAAGAGGCAATGGGGGTATATTATTCTCAGTTTCAATACTGCAACATGAATCTTGCTTAGGCTCAGTCACTGTTGGAGCTTCATCAACTACATATACTTTAACTTTTAGTACTTTTAAGTCTCTAAAATACCCATTACTTTCGGGACCCAGGTCCATCAATATCATTGTAGAAATGAGTAATGTGTGGATTTTCAACGAAAAATCTCTCCTTCACAATTTTTTCTTATATCATTCAGATCAAAATTTTCAACTCCATTTCTTTATTTTGGTTCTTACAAATTACAACTAAAAATTTTCTTTCCATTTCCAAATTCTGCAAAAAAGGAAGGAAAAATGAAATGAGTACTTTTTTAATTGTACATAATTGCTAAACTTTTTTTAAAATAGAACTATGTATAAAATCATGTTTACACCTATCACAAAAGTCATAATAATTATTATGTTTGGTTTTATTTACATTTATTGAAGTTGAACTATATTGCTCTGATGGGCATATCTTACTGCCTTCAACGGACGTAGGATTGGAAGCCGGCGGGTGACGAGTTTCAGCATGAGTTTGCCCACCGGTGTTCCCGGAGGACCATCGGACAGATGCGTGTGGCGTCAGCCACTCGTTCAAGAATTTATTGCAACTACAAAGCGATTTGCATATTATATCTGTTATTTTTTTTCAATTGTCAAATCACAGAACCAAAACCTATTTATGTTTTCTTATTCATTTTTTTTAAATTATACAATTATTACTATAATTGCCAGTCATACATGTTAAAATATAAATTTAAATTGTATTATCAACTCATATATTTCTCTTTTTTTTGTTCACCTTAATTTGCCTTGTCATATACATTTCTACTGAATATATGCATGTGTATATTTATATTTTTCAATGTTCTATTAATAATGTTTACTTGTACATGTATGATGTTGACCTTGTATTGTGGAAAGGACTTATATAGGCAGTGCCTGCTGTCCAATCCAATTATGTTTTTCATAATAAAATATTGTTGAAATTAAAGGCCGATGATATATACACGACCGTCGTGCGCACTATATGGAAAGTCTATTTACACGACCGTCGTGCAAATAGCTATTGGAAAGAGATGAGATATATACACGACCGTCGTGCATAGATTATTAAGTAAAAATCTATTTACACGACCATCTTGCATATAGCTATTGCACATCACCCGAGATATGTACACGACCGCATTTATACACTTTTATATTGTTACATGCTCCCCGTTTACGTGTGTAAACAATCATCCAGCGATCAGGTTTGTGTGGTAAATCAATAATCAATATATATAATTAGATATGTGTGTATATATAAACATTAGGCCTAATTGCTAATAAATCATATCCTAACTATCAAATTAAGAACAATAATTATAATTCTACTTTCATACTTTGCTAAAAAAAAAAAAACTAAAAATTTGTCATCCTGATCCCGACTGAATTTCAAAACCTTTGCATGTCATGCCAAGAAATCTCGTTCGATTTTCCACAGCGATGAAGTCAATAAAAGTGTAATTGATTTAAATAACCCATATTCCAAAAACGCCGACAAGACAATTTACGACAGCAGACTTTGGGGGGGGGGGGGGGTGAAGAAAAAATATTTTGTATGGGTACGTATAATTTGTCACTTTTTAAAATAGATAAATGATGCCTCATTCGATTGCAACTGCCCAAACCTCAACTATGACATATCCTGTAATCTGCAACACTTTACTGTTATAAAAAAGACGGAGCAAATAATTAAGCAGAAAAATCAGTGTTTTGTAGTTGAATATGGAATTTTCAGATATGCAGAAATGTTTTGTTGTTGTTCATATTTTATCTGGAGTTTCGCACTCGATCATGAAAATATTGTTGAAAAAATGTGTCCCAATTATATAATCATGAAATAAATTCCACATCCACCAACAAAACATTGAATATATGTAAGCATCCTCAATTTATGTAACATTTCTCTAAACTTTATCATCCCACCCTGTCTAGGTTTTTTTTTTTGTTACCACAAACTTCTGCTTTACACAAGGTACTCCTACAGGATTATTAACTCCTGTTAACCATTGAATTAATGTCAGTACTCGGAACTTGTCTCAGGGCTCAAAAACATACAACCATCCGAAGAATTTGAAATACAATACATATAAAGAACAAATTAAGATGTATAGAAATTATCTTTAATTGCCATCAATGATAACCAGTAATTATTCATTAAAAATTGGCGCATCAAAAGTATACAGTCATGTCGCAATTACTGTATGTTCCTCGTTATATATAAGTGTAATTGTGAAAAAATGAAATCAATTGAAACAAAAGAATTTCAAAAATGAATCCACAGAATATTTCTTCTTAGAGGTATAAAAGGATAAATAGGGAATATATAAATGTTTATTACAAAAGAGCTTTAGGATTAATAAATACATGCATGTAGTACATGTGTATGGACCAAAATGAAATTAGGCTTTAGCTTTAATTTGAGGAAAAATGATGAAAAGGTAAAAAAAATTTAAATAGTAAGTTACACATTCAGTAAAAAGTAAATGTTTTAGAAATGGGTTACTCTGTATAATTAAACCCACTTATACACAGTGTAACAGTTGTATATGTATCCAATAACAATCTTTTAATACATGCAACAAGAGACAATACTCAAAGTTTTAAAGTGTTCAAGAAAAAAAAACAACATTTCTTTTAAAAAAAAATCTACTGTTATTAACTACAGATAATATCTAGAAAAATTCTAGTCTGAAATATCTGAATCAGGCCTAGAAAAAAAAATGTTTGTTTCCGCTTTCAGGCTGAAAAAAATATAGGGTAGGTAGGTAGGCTTTTTTTTTTTTTGCTTTTTTAATCAAAACATGTATAGAAGTAACATTAATCATGTTAATGGTAAAAGAAATGGTGTTTAAAAAAATTAAGGGTCGGTACTATAAATTAGGGTCGGTCAGAAAAGCGGAAACAAACAGATTTTTTTTTCTAGGCCTCAGAATTTCTCTTTGCATTTTTTGCAATCTTTATACTGTGTGACCAAGAAAAATGGAAAGATACTACATGTAATAAATTAATAAGTGCTTGACTAGAATTCGTATTTTAAGCAATATACATCTAAGTTATTAAAGATGTGCAGAGAAAGGTATCTAATGGAAGAATGTGACAAATGCAAAGAATGGTATCACAAGTCCTGCATCTCTTAGTAATGCATGTAATTCATTTGGTCTTGCTTGTCATTAGTTTGACACTTTGTGCAGCACCATGAACTCCTTTTCCCGTCTTCAAATACGTGTTTAGGTATGGAGATGCAGGACTTGTGGTACCACTCTTTGCATTTATCACATTCTCCCATTTTTTCTTCCTTATTATCCGGAAGCCTGCAAATGCAATAGAGTGGAACTTTCAAAGATTTTGATACCCTTCTCTGCACATCTCTTTCTTCGGCTGGAAAAGGGCAGAACATTTTTTCTGTCAAGCAAGAGAGCATATGATCTCTCATCTGACTTTGAGAATAACATTTTCTACCTGGGTCATTCCCAAAGCAGCAGAGATCTGTGGCATACGCAATTGCAAATAATCCACAATCATATCCTCCTTTTTGGCGTATGCAATTAACAACATTCATGGAAACGGTTTGTTCTTGAATCATCATTATACATGCAGCTTGCATTTTTACCTCCATTGAGACTGATGTATAAAGGGAATCGAAGATGTCAACGCAATTGTCATCGCAGAATAGGTTGGATATTGTTAACCAATGCAATCCACCATCATGAAGGACCTGCACAAAATCACCAATTTCAACTGAAAACTGAAGTTTACTGCCTAAAATTGTGTCCTGTAGTCCACGCACCTTTGGGAACTGCTCTGACAATAGCTTTTGAGCTGCATTGATGTGGCTGTCAGTTAACATCTCCTTTGGGTTTCTGATTAATTCCATTTCATCCACTGTGGTTACTGTTTTCAGATTTTCTTTCTTCTTTTCATCTTGTCCCCTTAACTCTCTCTTTTTCAATAATCTTTGTCTTGATTGGAAAACATTTTCTTTCCCTTTTTTGAACCTTGCATTTCCTCTTACTGGGGGTGTTTTTGGTAGTTTTAGAGTCTTGAAATCTTGTAGCACTTCAGATGCTCTCCCAGTACTACATACTGATGCTATCTTTGATGCAGAGAAGATTGGTGACAACTTCTTCCCTATTCTTTCTTTATTTTCTTTTTTCTGGGGGGTAACTAGAGATGATGGATTTGTCAGTGGAACTTCCTCTAGAGAGTGTGTTTCTAAAGATGACGGTGAAGGCATAGGTGTTGCACTTTTCTCTGGAGTGTATATTCCAAAAGAGGACGGTGAAGGCAAAGGTGTTGCACTATTCTCTGGAGTGTATACCGGTATACCAAAAGAGGACGGTGAAGGCAAAGGTGTTACATTTCCCTCTGGAGTACAGGTTCCAACAGAGGATGGTGAAGGCATTGGCGTTATTTCTCTGTCTTTGTCTTCGTGCAGGAGTGGTGAGGCAATATCTAATGGAGGTAATGGTGAAGGCCAATTCCTTATACTATCATCAGAACAAGGGGATGAAACCATATTATTACTGCTTGTTGGAGACGTAGGCATCTTTGGTGTTTCTGGTGTCTGAACACAAGGATATGGTTCATCTGGATCTTCTTCACCTGTCGTAAACATGACCTTTTCCCCACCTAGCCATGCATCATGTATTGTTGTTAAAGTATCCATCTTCTCATTAAACTCACTTGTCCCCAGGGAAGAAGCAAAATCAGCCATCGATTTGCAGATTACCATCATTTCTTTAAACTTCTGCACTTTTGTTAAAGGATTTTTCTTAAACCTTTTCCTCAAAGATAGTTTACTCTCTGTTGATGCTGATCTTGGCCGCTTTCTGCATGTCCATATTCTTTTCTGGTATGCCAGATGCCATCGCTCTCCAACATCTTCAATATGAAACAGTCTCTCGCCTTGCTCAATCCTGTTGGCAAAAAGATGTCTACAAGGCAAAAGCATTGCTGTTTTTAGAGGGCATGCACAGTCTTTGCTGTTCTTAGATGTGCTGAAACGAGCCTTCTCTAATTCTGCTATGATGATACCTGCTGCATAAGGTGTTATCTGCTTTACAATGTCATCTTTGACAACATCATCATCTCCTAGGCGGTACGCTGTTTTAAATGTGTGGTTAAACTCTCTGTGGGCCATTTCATTTACTCTTCCAGTGTGCAATAGTATGATGCTCTTAACTGCTTCTGGAAGAGTCATGTTACGCTTCAGAACATCTTTGATCTTTTGATTATGAGACTCGATTCTATTATTTGTTGTGTTTCCCAAATTAATTTGCTTAATTGTTTTGTAGTATGCCCAATGCTGAACTTGATGTTGCTTTCCCCAATTCTTGTTGTAATACGCCATGAAGTTCTCAGGTGCAGTGGCTGCCAGATGACCTAATGACCTCTCAAAAGCTGACTTTGATTTGGAAAAAACAAGTGCTTGGAAAGATTTTTTAAGGTCACCTTTTGTTTCTTGAGCTATTGATAATTTATTAATGAATCTATCTACAGCCTGAATGACATGGAATTTACATAATTGAACATCTGCCCCTGGAATTACTTTTTTGACAGCAGCAATTTCTTTCATATCTTTATCTAATACAACAACTTTTACTTTCCCTAATTTATGAATTCTTGACATCTCTGTCATGACAGCTGAGAGGGTGTTCTCCGTTTCATTTGTGATAAAGGCATATCCCACGGTTTGGCCACTCCCATTTCCATCTTCCACTAGTAGGGAAAATAAAGGCATCCTCAATCTGTTCGTGCAATAAGTGCAGTCAATCATCAGAACCTCAGGAAACATGGCAAATGTCTGTTTCATATCCCCTGTTACTAGAAGGAGAAACTCCAATACTCCCTCATTGTTAGTTTGAACTGATATGACAGCATCAGGGTCATCTTCACCTGGAATTTATTAAGGAATAAAAGTACAATTTATATGAAATTTTGAAAAAAAGTATATTTAATTACATATTAAATTAAGGAGCACAAATTCTATTTATTCAGTTCTCCCTTATCTCAAATCAGGAATACATTTATCAATCAAGTTGAAATGAAATCACCCAGGATCAATAAATTAACACATAATTAAAAGACAGACAACATATCTAACAATTTATTTCCCCAGTCAATTAACATCAGACAAAATGCTAATCCCCTTGGACTTATCATTTTCTCACTGGCACTGTCTCTAAATTCTTTCATCATTACTGCATAGTGCATAATTTTCAAATGAAGGAGCATTACTGACATATCAAATAAGAATATTAAGTATTATGAAAAAGTATTTAAAACATGGAATAATGAATATGCATTGTGATTCTTTAAAGGTACTTGGGTACAGATTTGAAGTTAATATTTTCTAGTATATAATATCACAAATTGCTAAGTGTTATTAATAAAATATATAAGTCATAATATTATAGAAAAAATATTAAGTTCAAAGCTGTGTCCAAGTACCTTAATTAATGACTTTATATACTTACATAGCTGGTGTAATTCATCCATCAATAGTTCTTCCTCAGACTTCTCCCCTGTTCTTTCTCTTTTGGCCTTTTGATGTATGTTGTGAAGATCCTTAAGAGTGATAATTTGATTCTGCTGTTTTTCCACATGCTCTTTAAGGTACTTGACTTTTACACCTAGCTGAAGCATTGTTTCTACTTCTTTTTTCTTCACCTCACTTAGCCGTCTTTGTTCTGGATAATGCTTAAAAGCATCTCTGAATGCAAAATTTAAAATAATTTGTAAAATACATGTACCCATATTTTTAAAAAAGTTTTTGCGGATACACAAATATATAGATTTGATAAAAATTCTTAAAGATAATATTTGAGATAAACTCACTTGCTGACTTCATGGTTGTGAGCAGTAATCAAATTCTGAACCACGAGCTTTGTTTTCTCCTTGTTGACAGAGAGGAAAAGTCTTGCCTTGCATTCTTGCTTGAAGGAACTGCAAATCAAAATCATATCCAGGTTGAACCATAAAATTGCCATTGTTCATTTACTTTGAGTACGTAGATTTATCACAGTCTTGAATATAATCATATATTTAAATTATGATACTACCGGTATTTGTTAAAAATGAAACGGGGAATTTATTTTAAATTTACGTGTAATTAAATATTAAATCCGAATTTTACAAATAAAAAAAATCAGAATAATTTTTTCAAAAAATGTTTTAAGGTAAATAGTCTCTTTAAATATAAGGCATGCAGTACATGTAACCTTATTAAAAAGTTGCATCAAGATTGCTGCACAAGGTTTTTTCGTTTTCTTTTTTTGGGGGGGGGGGGGGGCAGGTTCTATAAATTCTCATAACAAATTTATTAAATATGTTTTCAACAGAAAGAAATAAATAGGCATTCATATTGCAGTTTAGATCATAAAGAGGATTGGACACATCCGTCATTCCCTTGGGAATAATTAGTGGGCATGCATCCCGTTAAAGATTAATTAATGAGTTCAATGTAGGAAGGCTAGCTGTCTCGATTATTTATGTTGGAGCATCTCAGCTCTTATCTTTAGACAGAACTGCTTGTCATTTATAGCATATATTATTTGATGGCCAACTTTTTATTTTCAGATTTTAAATTATTTAGTATTAAATTTTTAAGACTATTTTGATATTGTATAGGGTTTACTACTGGTATGCCATTTTTCTTCAATATTACTTAAACAAATTGAAAATATCAACAATAACAAAAAATATGAAAGATGAAGTGTCATTTGTCAAAGTCCTACCCATCCAGCTTCAAAATCTATGGTTGTTACATTTGTTAATATTAATGCCAACTTTAATACTAAAAGGTCAAATATTTTTGGAATTAAAGGGAAAATTGTGGAAATCTTTGACATTACTTTCTTTTTGTAATTAAAAAAAAGAACAACATTTTGACTGGCGTATCATGCTGTGCCGGGTTTTATTTAAATAATGCATTTATTTCAAGATTATTTCAAGAAACTTCGTATACTTTTTCAGAAGTCAACAAAAATTTATTTTTGCAGTTTTACTTTTTGTGACTTCGTGTGTTATGCGTATATTGTTTGCACAAAAATAAGCATGAACAAATAATTTTAATTTACCAGTGACATATATACATACGGAAGTTGCATGTTTGCAGTGGCGGATTTAAGGGGGGAGGGGCACCCAACGCGCACCCTTAAATTTTGTCAAAATAAGCGTAAATCACAGTCTCGTCTAGAAACTGCGTGGTAAAGTACGACAAAACAGTACTTCGTATGAAAAAAACATTTTACTTCTTGTATATATAGAGACAGGTATTTATGTATTTGGTGCTTAATTAAAAATAATGATGATGATAGCGACGATGTAATGATGCATGGTGTAGATATAATGATCGAGATATATTAAAAGTTTCACAAATATTAGCCAAGATATATACTCAGTTTAACAATTTAATAGCAGGCACACAATATCAAGGAAAAAGGGGGGCTGTATTTTTATAAATAAAAAAAACCATGCAGTAAATGTCGAATCTAAACTATTTTATGCTTATACCTTTTTAAATTCAATCCGGTAATTATATTTACAAATGTTAAAATGATATTGTGGCTTAAGTTTCAATTCCATTTTTCTACATCATGTACATATCATTAAAGAAAATAATAACCCAATATCCTTTTTTTCCCCCTACATTTTTCATTTTTGATTCCCAATATTGTTTTTAAGCTGTTTAATCAATTAATGATTTAAACACCAGTATATATTATAAGAAATTCTTATTCCGCCTTGGTATACTTTTTGCCTGCCCTTATATTTCATAGATAAAGAGAAATGCAGTTCTTTCACCCATATATGAATCGTATTAAATAAAATAAAACGCACATTAGTAATTAAAGAACTTACATTATTTCGTTTTTTATAAAAAAAAAATTTTTACATAATAATTTATAATTGATATATACTACATCGATTTCTTATGAGCGGTGATCTCAACTTATTCCACACGCGGTCTTGTACGTTATTTTAATAAAACAACTGCAAACAAAAAACAGCATCATCCTACCTTTGATTTGGTCGTAACCCTCTTCCTGATCTTCTCGGGGCACCTCCATGTTTACATTTGTACAGCACGTTTCTAAACTTGAATTTTTGGTCAAAATTTTTTGACTTCGAGGATAGTTTTTGGTTAGCACTTTGTACAGTTTTGCTGTGGCTTTTAACCCAGATAACATTCGTAGCTGTAGACCATTGTAGTAATTTGTCTTGAAACTCCTCAAATGAATTGAATTCATCCCCCTCGTTCATCTTATCTAACTTAAAACATATCTAAAGTTTCCCGCTAAAACAACTCAAGATATTTAAGTTCAACGTAAAAAGTCTTGTTAATACTGCCACCCAAGGTAAACGTCACAAGAAAAAAAAATAATCAGCCACCCGATATCAGCCGACAGCTTTGGAGAAGGGCTAATATTCATTAATTATATTTCTTCTTTCATTGCGACTTTCTTTCATTTCTGGGGATATAGTTATTCTTCTTTGTAAGCAAAGTGATTGGATATTGACCCAGACTCCTCCCATTTACAACTGCATACAGATTCTGAGACTCAACTGAGATCTCTATACACCTGCATAATGATTTTATCATACTATGACAACCGTTGGAATTTAATTTCTCCTTCTTTCAACTTAGTTAATAAATAGTTGACATAATGTTTCACGGTAATTACATACCAGGATAGAAGAAAGGAGGAAAATGCCAACAATAAAATTTATGAACTGATTGACTATGGGAGATGCAAAGGAACTGATATCCAGTTCAAAGACATTTTCCGTAGCATAACTGAACTTTCTTTTTGATTTATTGCATTTCTCTAAGAAAGAACTTTAATTGAATACGCAAGATTTAATTCATCATCATCATCATTTTTTATGAATAAAGATGTCAGCACCAGATAGAAATTCTGTATAAATTTCTAGTACCGGTACATATAATTATATATACCATATACTCAGCATAGATCATATATAAATAATGAAGAGAGGAAACTTTACGGTTCTCACAAAAAAATCACCTTCTTTCCACTAATCAAAAATACGTATAAAATACCGTAGTTATCCATGTGCAGATATAAATTTTACGTTTATTTGGCGTCTGATTCATGCAGTTTCAGTGTAATTAAGGTAAATTAAGTAAAATTAATAAAATTTTATTTCGTTTTTTTTTTAAGTAACATAAGTTCATAAAAAAGCAGGTTTGACAATTAGGCCTATTTTTTTTTAAATTAAATTCAAATGCCTTTTGACAGACAATATGTATGTATTGAGGTCATTTATATACAATAATATAAAGAGAGATTCTCGATTTTATTTCCTAATATAGTTAGGAAATAAATTTATTTTATTTAGGTTGTGCATCTTTTGTTCGCAATATTTCCCAAATTATACAAGATATCGGCACCACTGGCACTGAGATGTTTGCATGAAATCAGTGCGTCAGGTCTTTTGTTCATGTTCTTTTTCAGAATCCATATCCTTAATTGATTGAAACAAATGGTTTAATTAAATCAACAAAGTTCAAAAGCCAATAAAAAGTAAATGATTTCTGTCAACAAGTGACAATTACTAAATACATCGGATACGTGTAACCAAGTAATATTGGGACGAAACGCCTCAGTGCGAACGGTCTGTGGGGACGAACCGTCTCGCACTTCAAACAAGGAAAGATAAATACAATGCATGTTTGATGTTTTACACGACGGTTGTGTAAATAGTCATTGAAATTATATACACGACGGTCGTGCGAATAGTCATTGCAGACCTGTTTACCCATAACGCTGGTCCTCAGTATTTTTTATTAGATTTGTCCGTGAGATTTGGCATTTGCCAGTAAGCTTTCACTTTCCATCAATTTTACATATATTTGAATTGATGGAAACTGCTTTTCTGATTACAAAAACGTTGTTTAACAAGGTCTTTGTCATTTCATAATACCACAGCGTTTTGGCAACCTGACATCGCTTATATGTTTGAAATTTTTCTCTTATTTAGCGATAAATAGGGTAAAAATAAGACAGATCATAACGAAAACTAACTGTTAAATTCAAAACTAACGTATTTCCGATTTCCGTATTTTCATAATGGCAAAACGTGAGACGTATTTTAGACTAAAAATCCGTACAAAATACGGCGAAATCGTAAGAGTAAACAGGTCTGTCATTGAAATTATATGCACGACGGTCGTGCGAATAGTCATTGAAATTATATGCACGACGGTCGTGTATATAGACACTGCCGAAATTAAACTGGTATCGTGGAAATTCCTAAATGTGCATTGATTCCATGCAGCGAATTCCGGTTACTCAAGGTTCAAGTTTTTGCGGACAAACAGACAGACGTATGGACACGATAAAAAATATTTAACCCCAGAAACTTTGTTGACGGGTCATAGAAAATAGACTTTTCTTCAGATGTCTTTTTCACAAATGTTTTACGAGTCATTTAGACGACGAGTTGACTTAAACAAAATGTAAACACTTTCTTAAATCGTACTCATTTTATTCGGACAAATGCTTGAAAATCACTTAGTATTGTAAGGTTTCTGTTACAAATATCTTTGACAAGTATTAGCTTTCCTAAAAAAGCTTGTCTGACGTGGTTTGCTTAAATTCATAATGCAGAAAGAACTTTATAATATGTATTATATATTTATATTTTTTTTTATATATTTCGTTCGATAATATATATCTTCAAGAGACCATGCATGCGTAATCAATATTGTATATGATAATTAATGTACAAAGAACTCTAAATTGAATCTCCTGGCTCCAGGATCATGAAAAAAAGTAAGACTTATTTGAAATTTATTTATGCCGATGAAATATTTATTAATTATGGAATTTATTTCTTCATTCGCACATAACAACATCTCTGTAAAACAATGTTAAAAATATCCCTAACAAAAACCCTTCTGGTCTGCTTGACTTTTACAACATTTTATCATAAAATAGAGATTTTGACCCCGGGTCAATATTTTCAAGTAATGTTTTATATGTTAAATGACCTAACTGTTTTTTTTATTAAACAAACCGAATAAAATGAAGGTTGTAAATGATGAAATTTGATCACTTAATGGGCGCGTATAACCCTAACCTTAACCCTGACGATAACAATCTTGGCATTTACACATGCTGACCGTTCCCCTGCTGTTGTTGAAAGCTTTCATTGTTTTTCAAACCATTTGATGTACAATGATTCTCTACTCAACACGTAATTGATTGATGAAATTCTGAACTGAAGCATCATGGGAAAGAAACAAGAAGATGCAAACTAATTTACAATGCAATATGGTCCAAAATATAATCGTTGGATAGAGTGAAGTATAACACTTCAGCAACAAACAAATCTATTTACACAATAAAGAATTAAAAGTGAACTTGAATAATTAAGACATTTTTTTTTCTGTTTTTACTGCATTTTTCTCGTGGAACAGGGCAACAAGGAGGAAATATTTGACCACGTGTCTGATGTTTAGGTACTAGAAATTCAATGTCAAGGTATAATTTTACTGAAACAAGCATTCAATTATTTAACCATAACATGTAAAATGACTTAATTATTAATCTTTGATACACAACACAAAACAGTGAGATTTATATAATAAGGCATTTTTGTATAGAGAAGTGAAGCAGACATGTTCAAAGATGAAAACACGGAATATACTAAACACAAGATCATTCATTAATGTAAATAAAAGCTCATTTCCTCCTGGGACCAACTACATACGTCTTTGGAGATAATGCATGTATCGAATTTTCCACCATCGAGCTATCTAAACAATTTCATGGAACGACTGCATAAATAAGCCCTGGTTAAATCTAGTACTGTCTGACGCCGTGACGTCAGACAATAATTCCTTTTACATGGGTGGGGATATGGGTTTTATATTTCACAGGTGTATTCCTTGAGACAAGACCTTTCTTAGGAACCACTTAATTTGACCATTTTATCTTGACCTTGGAGTTTGACCCACCTTTAAAATGTATAACCTTTGCCTCAACTTTTGAACAGTTTAAACGATGGATTTTATATTTCACATGTGTATTCCTTGTGACAAGATCTTACATCCATTACGAACAATTTTGACCTTGACCTTGGGAGTTCGTGTGCATTTCAGAAAAAATAACTTGGCCATATGAGGGCATTAATGTTCACAAAAACATATCGTTATTGATATACACTGTATTTGAATGATAAACGTATTTCATTAAATGAACGTTAAATTACCTCATCATAAAACAACACTTTAAGCGTCGTTCTAAGGTCTGCAATGGAACCAATTACATCAAAAGCAGTCTCGAGAATGTTGTTTCGATCAACAATTATGAAGTTAATTGCACATTCAAGATTTTGTGATCTATCTATTTCAAGTTTTTCTACTGTTACAATAACACTTTATAAAGATCGAAGCATTTCAACAGGATCTTGAATGTTATGAATTAAGCAATATTCTATTGCTTTTGCAATAACTGCCTCAATAGTCGAAACTTCTTTTCCTCTTACGTAGACTCAAGAATTTGAAACACCGGTTCATGTACATCCGCACATACAGTCGCTTCAGCAAATGTGATGCAAGTTGCGGTAGAGGTAACGTCCAAGTAATTTGTTGTACTTTGCTGTAATGCCTAGAAGGGTTGTAGGGTTTAGCTACTAACAATTTGAGACTGGTCATATCGTCCATATACATCTTTGTATATTCCTGATGGAATAACGTGTGTACAATTCTTCCCAACTAACCAAACATGAAAACCCTGTCCTAAATTTATAATATACCATTTGATATAAAATCAAATAATCTTGATAGTTTAAAAAACTGTTGAACAGCTATTAAAATATTTTTCTCCATCTAAAAAAATCTGCAAACAACTTCTTTGCCTCTTAATAAAGATACATGTAAGATCACCACTTAAAGAAACAGAGCTTATAAAATCTGACACAAAATCATAAAAAGCTGAACCTTCACGCAGTTTGATTTCCCCATCAATATTGCTAAAGGGATTTCATTAATTACATTGAGACAAAAAAGTCTCTGATATATAATTTTCATATTTGCAATGCTCCGTAATTCGAAAGTTTTCTTCCAGGATGGCTCCGTTATAAATTGACAAATAAAACCATGAGTTGTAAAACTGTTAAAAAAAATTGCTTTGCAATGATTAAACGACTACATTCAAAACAACATTAAAAGAGCTTGAGGATAACAGATATTGTAAAAGAAGTTGATGCATACAAAATGTACCAGCAGGATT